CCCCCCCCCCCCCCCCCCCCTTCCCTTCCTTTTTGAACTTGCACTGACCTGGTCTTCAATATGACACCTCTGTTTCAAGAAACACAAGGCTACAATTTTCCATACATGTCCAGGCACCATTCTTAACAAGGCAATATCATGTACCTAAATATTATAGATTTCGATTAAATGAAGATATCAAATTAAAATAAGATGGAAATATATCAAGAAGGATGCAGCTTAAATAATGCTACTAACCGTGCACGTATACAATTTTTGAAATTTTTTAATTTGACCAACGGAACCCAATCGGAAAAGAAAAAAAAATCAACTTTTGTATTCAATCCAACTTTGATCCTACACTGTCATACTGGCATAATTCAAAATTTCACCCAATCTAACAAGATTATGAAGGGTCTTTGTGCAACAAGCTAATGAGCATGCACAATTTGATCTTGTGGAAAATATTGTTACTCTCAGGTGTTGATTTATCAATCCAGCTTTAGGGCCTTTGTTATGAATGCTCTGGTAACCACAATCAAAACGTAAGCGAAGATGGTGACAGCAATACCCAACAGCAGAATCAGATGGTCATAAGCAGCACCCTGAACTGTGTACACCCGAAGCCGTATCATTTCCCAATTGCTCTCTGTCCAGACAGGGTCTTCTAGATCCATTGGTTCAGAGGAATTGCGGGGTAACAAATTCCATGTTTCAGACTCAAACTTCAAACGGGTGGAATATGCTGGTACATACCTGAAATGATATAATTACAAGTTATGAATTCAGCAAACCCACCTAGGAAGCTCGGTAAATAACTACTACAAGGGCATAGAAGTTGCTGGGTTCCACCCAGATCAAACTGAGCAAATAGCAAGTAACTGCCACAAACCACACTACCATCAGACTGCATGAGACAACGGTCAAATTTAGTAAACAAGCAGTGTATAAGGAAGAAGGGGATCACCAAGGTATTCAATCGGTCTCAGGAGTAAACAATGATGGCGAACCACACAGGCCAACTTTAGCCACTATAGATACCTCGGCATTTGAACAAAATCTGTGACGGTTCAAAAAGGTGGATTTAAGTGCTAATGATCTCCTCTAGAGTGGCAGCAAGACATGATATTCGCGTCACCTTCATTGCAGACTCTATTGGAGTCCAAGGGTCAGAAAGGATTCTCTACCCCAGCTTTAGCTGGGTATAAGACAGCACTAACATTCCTTGTTTGTTTCCTCCACAAAAATGACTAGGATAGCAACATAAAATGTGGATCATTTGACCTGAGGTATACAGATAATGTGATGACGGCAAACTGGGCTTGATAGGGATATTCAGGTTTAATAAGGATAAGGAGCTGACCAGGATAAAAATGAACCCATTTATTAGGGAACCATCCCAGCCTTGCCCCCATTGACAGGTCTTATTCAGGTAGGGGTGGGTTAGGATGAAAAGCATATCCACTTGTGGGCATGCATTGCAACTGTTTTATTTGATTAGTGTTGCCAAAATAGCAGGTACCTGGTTGAGGAGATAACACAGACCCCCTTCCCATCTGTCTCCACTTTGATGCACAGTTCACCATTGTTATTGCAAGCTTGTGGGCAAGAAGAACTAGCATTCTTTGATGGGATAGATGTTTTCTCGGCCAGAAAGTTCCACACAAACCTTGAAACATCACTCACATAACCAGTATAAGGTGTGGATGTTGGTTCCCCAACGATGACACCGACATAATTGCTCGGGCAAGTGTTGGCGGGTGATATATAGTCCTTCACCAGTTCACATGATAAGCCCAGCTCACAACTTAATAGGCAACCCAACAGTTCATCTACCAAAGAGGCATTCACATTGATAGCACTTAGAGCTGAAGCACTAAGATTCTTTTTATCACTAGCAAGAATGTAAAGTGTTCGGGCAACAAGGGAAGCAGCTGCCACTATGGCTGAAGAGTTGATATTAGCTGCACAAAAAGCAACATATTGAATGAGAACAAAGAAATAAAATGTCTACATTTAAAGTTCAGATGAATCAATCAGAAAAATGGAAAAGCACCCAAGAATTAGATCAACTCACACAGATCATCAAGGTGACTGTGGTAGAATTTGTTGATGAAGGCTGTATCAAAATCTTCTAAGACTATCCCAGAAGTCTGAGAGTTCTGTTCGAGACAACAAAGTCAAAACTATTAGAGAAATATGGCCAAACCACATATTAACTGACATTTCATATGCACTCTAGATTCCAAACAAACTTTCTGATGCAACATTGTAAAGCTTCTTGTCTCAGACTATAAACCTTTTTTGCCACCATCAACTCTCAACACAATCCTATTTCAAAAATACACCTGTTAGCATTGGGGGGTAATGAGAGAATTGTTCCTCTGCTCCATACAGCCAGATAAAAGCATCTCAGCAATAAGAAGAAGCATATCGCTAGAATGTTCAAAAGCTCCAACTTCTGTTTCTAAATAAACATTACAGCTGACACCTTTTTGGCATGTGGAAAGAGAAGATAAGAAAAAGAGCCATGCTGTCAGCTTGGTTTCTTGCTCCCAGTAAAGCAATTTGGGGAAGTACAAAAAGATAAGGCCTTTTCTGTAACTCGTTTTTTGTGGGTTTTTTTTTTGTGGTGTGTTTTTTCTTTTTTTTGGGGGGGGGGGTTGGTTGTTTAGGGAAACGGAAAAAGAAGTATGCAGGATAGCTGGTGATATCATCTAAGCACACACAAGTACTTAACGTAGGGTCTGTATATTTTGATCTAGCATTCAATAGTTGAAGATACAGACAACTACCATGCCCATCACGGGAGGATTTTGAAACCTTGTTACAATAACAAACCAAAGGGGCATTATTTTACATCACAAAGATGAGCAGACCAGTCACATAGGCTAGTATTTGCTTTTTTTCTTTGATCAAGGGATGATGGAACAGAAAATTAAAATGGTAAATGATTCAGTGAAACAGAATATTTGCAATTGACATTAGATGCTAAATTGGCATTTACAGATTTACTAGTACATCGAGGAACTGTTCCCAAAAAACCAATAATAATGATTTGAAACAAACAAACCAGGAACCATGGGTCTTCTAGCTCAAGAAGCATCCCCTTCTGTCAGGAAGGTACACGGCCCAGATGGTAAAAGCAAAACATAGGAACTAAAATTTGCGTGGTTCAAACCTTCCTCAGAAATGACATCAATGATGACGGAGGTATCCCAGGATTCGATGCACTAGCATTAGAGATCTTAATGCCTCCAGTTTCGAGTGAATCTTGAGCACGGTGCAAGGCACTCAATGTTTCATTTGTGGCCGATAATCCCTGCAAGAACAACCAGGCAAGCTTTAGTCCACAAAGTCTACCAATACCAGAACTAATTGTTCATATAACAAGTAAAAAGGGTAAAACAATAGGTATTAATCTACCAAATATAAATGTATGGGAGAAGTGATAAGACATAGACTACAATCAAATTACTGATACTTCTTTTCTCAAGTATAACTAAGCACAACTACTTTACTAAACTGCTTCGATCTGAAGTTGAAGATGACCAAAATTTGCTCTGCTTTGATGTACTGTATAGGACTACTTTTTCTATCCTCAACTACATATTAAGTTTTGCAACAATATTTTCACAAAACCACAATCTAAACACTTATACCAACAGCGCTTCTACTACCCTTCTACCTAAAAACCACAGTACCAGACAGCAATATCATCGCCCTGGCTTATACCATTAAGTCACTAAAAGTCACAAGTTGCGNCAACAATATTTTCACAAAACCACAATCTAAACACTTATACCAACAGCGCTTCTACTCCCCTTCTACCTAAAAACCACAGTACCAGACAGCAATATCATCGCCCTGGCTTATACCATTAAGTCACTAAAAGTCACAAGTTGCGACCATCATACCTGGGAAGCCACGAGCACCTCCACATTCAAGATTCATTGTCTTTTCTAAGGATGTCACTGCCACCGTAGTGCTTAAGTGCACGGGTGACCAGTTACTAAGGTACAGTTGACAAGAATACGATATAGGAACATGCATCCACATGCCATTAATGCACAGGAACATTTTAGATGGCTCCAAAAATAAATAATGTCTTACCCCTGTTGTATGAGCAAACAACGTTTTGACCCCCTGATCAAAACCCTTTCCAACCGACCCAATTTCCACAACCTGCACAAAGTCATTCCACATAGTAATGTTTTGCATGTTAAAAAATATTATCATTCATAAAAGGGATTAACCTCCGATTGTGAGATTTCCATCTTAGCAGGTAACCAAGGCATGCATAATATGACAAAGCATGTTGATAAGCATACACAAAAACTTAGTCCTGTAAGGTGTGCAATGGCTCGAGTGCTGAGGGCACCTAAGACTGCTTAACCTTCCAACAGATTTCCACATAGCATGACAAGCTATGCTTCTAGACATATCAGAGGATCACTAATGCAGCACAGTGAAGAGAATTTAGTGTTCCCCTTGTGAGTTCTTAAATAAAATTTCAGCTCTTTTTGAAAAGTTACTCCTGTTGTCTTAATTCTTATTATGGAAACAGACCAGCAGTTGATCAGCATGCCCCCAACCCCAAACATAAAGACGCAGTTTCTATGACTATTTGGAGGCATGGCTATCATCTAATAGTGGACCTGGTTTTTTCTCTCTAGCTGCTAAGGCAAGTTGTTTTCTGAAGTCTCTCCAGCTGTTAAACATATGTCGGAGGCAAGTAGATTTTCTAAATATTAATTCAACCAAATAGACTAAGACAGCAGCTTCATGATGGACCCCTCACAAAATTAACAGCTATCAGATTTCTGGTTAATGTCTACAATCATTTTTAAAATCTTCCCTTTCAGCGCTGGGATACTTCTTATTAACCGCTGAAACAAAAAATTTAAGTAGGAGTTCTAGTTCAGAAATAATGAAGAATTAGAAGAAAACTCCTGCACAATTGTTACGTCCACATTTGCCTACAGTTAAAACAAGGTTACAAAATAAGCCCAGGTAAAATTTCAAAGACAATGCAATATGTCCTGATTTCCTTATGATTTGGTTGGCATCTAAAGAGAAAAGCTAAGAAAAGGTATTTGGAATCTAAAGCTCATATCAACAAAAAAGGCCCAGGGATCCAGAAAAACAACCTCTGTTATTCTCATTATCATGAGAATTTATTTTAAGCAGAACCAAGGCTCTGCAGCCATGCAAGTGCAATTACTGGCATTCCAACTTCTTCAAGATACAATACTTAAGAACCAGCTTTGTATACACCATGACTTCCCAAAAATGGAAAGGAGGCTGGGTTTTACATTTGCACAAATTTTCCTATCCTTTTATCTAGAATGTAGAAAATGCACACTAGATCAGGACTCCTTTTGCAAAATGTCTAGCAGACCACATTTCCAAGGGCAATAAATCATCCAAAAAAATAAAATCCCTTAACCAGAAACAAAATCTACACACTGGTATCTTTTTCAAATCAAAGTATTAATATTCCTATCACAACCCATGGAAGGAACTTCCTTTCCTCCAGTGAATCAAACTTACCGGATGAAACTTCCCTTCCCACCCACACTAGATGAAATATCCTTTCCTTCTTCAAAACTCCCCAAAGGAAATCCCTCTGAATCATTTCCAGTCTTTTTTCCACTAAAGCTGGGATAGGAAAGAATGTTTGCAAGTGAAGATCTCTCAAGAGTGCAAGTCTACCACCTTTTTAGAGGCATCTCTGCTTCACTTTATTCCACACAGCCGTGGCCTCATGCTAAGAGCTAAATGGGATCCCAAACATTGGCCAAAACACCTTGAAACATCCTGAAACTCATTAAAATATTCCAAAACACCTCGAAAAATAGGAATTTGAATATCCAAATACCGATTCATTTTGTTTCTATGGAAACGGAAACGTTTTGGTTATTTTGGCGGGGAAAAAATGAAATTTTGATCCTTTAGTAGGACCCTCCTCAGGTAATTGGCCTTCTCCCAAGATCTCTGTCCACCATCAGAGTTTCACTGTCCTGTCACCTTCGTTTTGCATGTCCGCCATTGTCTTAGGGATGTCACAGCTCAAAAAATTCCCTTCTTGTTCCCTATGGTTCCTCAATCTTGCTATGCACATCTTCTAAAAGCAATATCCACCCCTGCATACCCTCCATTCATTTTGTTCTCAATAAAATAAGTAGATGGATCGGTCACCCTCTATTCATGGCGCAGATAAATATGTCATTTGATGTCTCCTCCAAGACCATGAAACGGCTGCCAATCCACATATTGTCTCTGATAGATGCAGAGAGAATCACGCTTCCATTCTTCTGACACCACTCCAGTCCAGTCCTTGCCAGCCTTCCTTCCACAAGCTTCTTCCAATACTGAACAGAAAAAGCCGAGAGCCTCTTGCTCAAGCTTGATGTCATTCTCCCTCCTTACTCCATGCCCTTTAACCACCAGTCAGATTCTTCCCTAGAACCTGTCCTATTATGTTAGGACTCAGCACTTTTAATTTGCTCTTTTCTTGTTAGCCAGCTTGGCCTCGTTTTGAAGCCAATCTCAATATTAGATTGGACATTCTCTTCAAAAATGTGTAGGAAAAATATCAGCTATTCAACCAACATCTGTGATGTTACACAATCCTCTTACAAAAAACACTATGGAAGTCTGATTCTAACTAGAAGAGAAATATACCTTTTCAATCAACGAGTTGTTAAGGCCATAAACAGCATCAGAGTTCTGATCAAGTTCAAGAAGAAATCTCCGGCTACCAAGATAGCCCCAGGCTTCTCCGGTAAAAACCACAAAAACAAGCTGCAGTACAGAAAAGGGAAAGGAGAAGGATCAGCCAAACAAGAAGAAGTTTACAAGATACAATAGAGCTACAACAACCATTGCAATCCATTCCAATAACAAAAAGGTCAAAAAAGTCACATGACAACCAGCCAAATAAACTAGTCTCAAATGAATCACAAGACATGCAATTAGAGTAAAAGACATTCCTCTAATCGCCTCTTTGGGTATAACATTCTGCTTGTGAATTTAGTTGGCCATGAATACAATAAACTGGGTGAAAGGATAATGCAGAGAAGCCAAAAATCTTTAAGCACATGGCAAAGAGCCAGTGACCCCCATGCTTATGCCTAGCCCAAGATGCATATTTGCAGAATGCCTCATATAGCAACAGTAGATAGATGATCAGTTTTTTGAATCACATCTGTCACCAGGAAGATTGACACAATAGGAGGAAGTTTTCCATCGGTGACAATGTCTGCGAAAATTAATCCTTCACTATTCTTACAGGCACTTGAACCAGGCACAAATATATATTTTTCTCAAAAAGTGGAAACAAAAAGCCTGATAAGTAACACTTGCAATTTAAGAAATTCAACTACATATGTGTGCCCAATAATGAGAAAGAGAGTGACTAAAGAATAGAATTTTAAAGACCAAGCCACATTCTTACCACCTATGTAAAAAGGCACACTCTTCGAGCAAAGCTCGGAGCATAAATAACTTGCAGCTGTAATATAAGGAGTGCAAATCTATACACACCTGTTTACTGAGGTCATGCAAACCATCCAAGTATGAAAGTGCATCCACTGCAGCCAGCAATGAGATCATCCCCTAGATAGTTGTTTAAAACATGACTTTTCGACATTAATTAGGAAAGAAAAAGCCTTATAGAAAAACATAATGAGATAATTTGACGCAAGAAAACTTTTAACTTACAGATATAGGGGAATCTGCACCAAGGCTTTTGTCACGGAAAAAGGAAGCAGAATCCATTGATGCCACTGTTAATATGATGGGCTTGGACCTTTCTAAGGATGAAACATTGATTGGTGGAAGAGCCGACCAGACACTGCCCTTCATATTTAAGATGCATGAAGCGAAAACCTAAGGTGAACAAACCTTCCAGATTCTATATGTAGCAGTTATATATAATCCATTTTTCAATAAGAACAGTTATATATAATCCATTCATGGCAGAGGTATGACTAAAACAATAGAACTAGTGACTAGTTTATAAGAAAACATGCCCTTCACAATAAATGCTAATGAAAAACTAAGGTGAAGTAAGGCACCTAGGCCTTGAAGAATCTAAGCACACTGGCAAGCACAGCCAGAGAAAAGAAATGCACTTGAGTGATAAAAATGTGAGCTGAAATTCAATATGCACAACACAAGCTAGCCAAAATAAGAATATGCTTACATACATACACAGTTACACACAAATATACATATATAACAATAGGAGAAAAAGTTGAACTCTACTGGCATAATTATGAAAAGGTAGTCAAATTGTAATCTATAATAATAAGACTGGCAAATGGCAAAGTGGGCTAAGCACAAGAGTGGATCAAGAAAATTGATCCAAAGGTGTAAAATCACTCTCAAAAAATTCCCCCCCTAAAAAATGTCACATCCACACCCCCTCCCTGGCGTGTTCCTTCTGTCACGTGTCTTCTCTCTCTTTCCTCACCCCTTGTAGTCTCAACTCTCTCAATCTCATCTATGCCCCCACCTTCTCTCTGCTTATTCTTTCCCCTTTATCTCTCTTCTGTCACTGATCTCCTCCCTCTTCACTCTCTTTCCACCCATTCACTCCCCGATGCCACACCCCAGTGACGCCCACGACGACACCGGAGAGGTACTCTCCGTGCCTCTCTCTCTCTCTCTGCTTTCCAGCCCCCACCCACCTCCACACCATCGAACCGAAAACCACCGCAGCTCACTGAAAACCACAATATCTCTTTCTCTCTCTCTCACAAACCCCCCCCCCCAAAAAAAAAAAACATTGAACACTCCACATATCCAAAGCAAACTCTTTACCCCATGCCAACCACCACCTCCACCCCCTTCCTCCTTTCCCCCTTTCCACCAGACTGCCACCGAAACTCATCACAGCCCATCAAATACCAATTGTTTGTATTATTATTTCAACGAGCTGGATAATTTTCTCTGATTTTTTGTGAACTTATTTTGTCTAATGCCAGTTTTTTATTTTTTGGGTGAACTTCAAGAAGGGCAGCGGCCATTGATGTTTACAGCTCAAGCAATTGGCGACAACATAGCTCCAACGGCGACAGTGACCTCCAAAAAAGTAGTTTGTTTTTTGGGTTTGTTATTTTCATGGGTTTTTCATTTGTTAGTGCGATTTACATTTTTTTGTCTTGATTTATGAAACTATATTATAAGAGGTAAATGATTCTTTCATTTTTATATTTTTGCTTTCAATTGAAGTTGTGAATTGTTTAGCAGGATAGCATTTGAACTTGAGTATGCCTTTATCCTTATTGTGATGCAATCAGTTATGCGTTTTTCTTTTTATGGTTATCGGATATGGTTGTAATAAGGTTAATAGTGTTATTTTAGGTGAAATATGCAGTTCGATTACCATAGCATGTGTGCACATAAACAAAGGTTAAGATCTTTTCAAATTTAATCCAAAGGCGAAAAATGTCTCATTTTCTAACTTTCCCACTCATATGTATCTCAAGCACCCCATATTTATGACTGTCTCTTCCCTCCTTTTCTCTCTCTCTAGCATCTATATCCTCTCTCATCCCCTCTCTCCTTCTCACGTCTTTGATTTTGTATTGACTCGATTATTCAAGGTTAATCTTAATCGGTTTGAAAGTTCGAAACTCTTTTCTATTTTGGGTGCCGAGTTTTCTAATATTTGAACTGTTTCTGAGAGATGTTTTTTCAATTTCTAATTGTGAATGTTGATACCATTTTGTGTATTGCACCTTGAAGAGTAAGAATTTTATGGATGCTTACGAAAATTTCATTTCTTTGAATTTTTTTCTAATTACTGCTACGGTGCTAACCAAGCTTGAAGCTTTAGATGGTAGTGTTGATGATACGAATGTGAATATGAATGTAAGATATCATGTTTCTGATTGGAGTGTGCCAAAATTATACGACAAGGTATTCTTTTTCAGGTAAACCATTTAAAGATCTTCAAGTCCTGTACATTATACTGTTTACTATCTATATGAATTTTCCTGTTATATAAACAATTCTGTTTAGGAAAACTATAAATACATAGGCGTTAACTGATTTCTATCAAATTTCATTGTCAGTGGTTGAAACTTCAAATTGGTTTCTGTCCGGTTTAATTTTTCTGTTTACTATCTATCTAATTTTTTTATTTAGGGTCCGTTTGGTTAGCAAGAAAAAGGTGATGGAAAGTAAAAGAGGTGAAAAATGAAGTGAAAGAAAAAAAAGTGAAAAAAAATATATTTTCATGCATGTATTTGGTTAGCATGAAAAACTTCTAATAAAATTTTAAAACAATCTCATTCCATTGTTTAAAAAAAAAAGAAAGTTATAAGAAAATTTTTCTAATTGTCTAAATTATCCTTAAGCATTTTAACTCTGTCTAAAGAAGAAAAATATATTTTTTATTATTCAAATTTTTAAAAAATTGACTCCTAACCTAATTCAAGAACAAAGAACGACTCGAACCTTAATCTCTACACCAAATTATATGATTAGTCTAATTTGTATATATTTTTTTTAAATTAATAACTACTTGAATATTTTAAGAAAAATAAGGGCAAAATGAGAAGTAAAGTTATTGAATACAACTTTCTTGCTTTTTCTTGTGTTTTTTGTAAGAAAAAAAAGTTAGTTAGATGTGAGAAAATCTAAACATGAGAGAAAATTATTTTTTCTATCATTTTTTATTTCATGCTAAACAAACGCATGTAAAATTTTAAAATTTTTTCTTTCTTGTATTTTCTAGCATTTTCTAGCTAAACAAACGGACCCTTTGGAAAAAATTGTTTATATAACAACTTGTTAGAGAAATATACCTTATCTACTAAATTGACATTTGCTTCAGCCTGCCAGAAGGAACTTGTGTTGCTTCATGGTTGTGCGCACAACCCAACTGGCATTGATTTAACGCCTGAGCAGTGGTATAAAGCTGCTAATCTAATTCAAAAGAAGAACCACATTTCGTTTTTGACGTTGCTTATTACCACTTGGACGAAAATTATTGTGGAAGGAAAAAGGAAAAACAACTCTTTTTCTTGTTGGAGATGGTCAATCCTCGTGTATTTCCAGTATACGTGCTCTTATTTGAGTTCGATTTAAGGTGATTTTCTCCCTCTTCTCTTTTATACACAGGTGACCTTAATGTATTTTTGGTATCTGTTTCTTTTAGGTCTGGATTTCTACTGTGTTTTAAGTTGTTATAATGTGGTTTTATGCTAATTACCACTAACCTGTTGTACCAAGCAAAGATGCCCGCCAACCAAGAATCAAAATTTCGTTTCGGTACATTGTTTCGATCACCTAAAAAAATAGAAACATTTCGACATGTTTCAGAAACGATTCGACCCATTTCGAAAATATAATAAAAAATAATAAAATTTAAGAATTATTTTTTCAAAACATTGATTGAAATATATCAAAAAATCTTAAAATACCTTGAAATATTTCAAAATAATTGTGCAAATGCATTGAAATATAACAAATTATTTCGAAACTTTATGGAACACCTCGAAGTATTAGAATTTCGATTTCATCACTGATTCGTTTCGATCTCCTTAAAAGTGGAAACGTTACGATGCTTCGACCGTTTCAAAACAATATTTTGATACTTGCCGCCAACTATTTTTGTTTTTTTTGTTGACTTTAGTGATGCTTAATGGGTTTTTGTTTCATTTTCTAAACAATAGTAGGCATAATCGAAGCTTGCAAGGGATTGTAGGTTGGTCTCCAATTAACGGCCTAAGGATTTTTGGGTGTTAAATGATTGTTTTCGTGTTTTTAGAAGTCAAGAGGGAATTCAAGGTTAAAGCATCGAAGAAGGCATGGTTAATACCATGTGTTCTTTTTGGAAGTCGTGATCTATTTTGTGTTAATGGATTCTGAGTATTCAAGAAAACCCATGTGTTGAAAGAATTGGGTAGCTACTATAATTTGCATAATATTTTATGTCCAAAAATAATGCAATGGAGTAAAAGGCACTTGAATTAATGATATTAATTCTCTTGCCATGGTTGAAAATTTAGGAACACCAAGTATATTAGATTGGAAAGTGGTTCTCATCCTTCACTATGAGTTTTTTGTATTGAGGTAGAAATGCAGAGTGATTGTGAGTCCAACAATTGGTTTGGGCCGTGTTTTTAATATTACTATTGTGTGTATAACATAGTGCACCCCCTGCCTATAGTTTGGTTCTCTGTTAAACATAGTTGGCCACCATATTAGTTGGTTACCTTTTTTGTTAGAAGGACATTAGTTGGAATACTATTAATAGATTGTTGAGCTGCCTATTTAGTTTTCAATTTGAAAATTTTCTAGCATCAAATCTATGCATCTCATGTTATGCAAAGGAATTTTCATGATTGATTGCAAAATTACAAAAGAAATAATTATTGGTATGGGTGAAATTGGATATGTATTGTTTGTTGTAAAAGGTTGAGTGCCTAGGTTAACGAATGAGGCATTGACAGTAATAATCACTACAATTTTGGTACTACATGAAAGTGTAATATATTATTACAATTACTTATCATTGTTTATGGTTAATACCAATATAATGTTGTGGTAGTAGGTAAATAGTAGTGTTTAAGTAGGGTTATAGCCGTGATGGTGAGTTATGTAATTGGTTTGGGTATGATTATGAGATATGTAAATTTTGTGAGATGTTGATATTTATCTGAACTACTATTTTTAGAGGAAATTCTATTGAAACTTTTTGGAAAATTAGCGGAGCCTAGATTGATTTCAATTTCTCTAATTAAAAGCAAATGAAGGAAAAATATTCCAAATTAACAATTTTTTTTGTTACACACGCACTCCACAGCTTACGCACACAACCAGCCCACTCACACATCACACACAACACACAC